TGAGAAACTTTTTTTTTCTGACTGTTAACTATTATTTTTAACTATTATCAAAGAAATTGCACTTTGATTACAAATCTAAATCTAATTTGCTAAATACTTAGATACCAGGTTTAAAAGTCAGTCATCCAATTGCAGTATTGATAGGTAAATGAGGAAAAGTAATAGTAACAAAAGTAGTATTGAAAGAAGTGAGAGAAGAAAGGGAAAAGCATTGATTTCTTCTGGGTTGTAGTAAAGAACCCGAAAGGTCGGAACTCAGCTTTATCCCTTCTTTTCCTACTGCAGATAACCTTTCAAACTGAAGTTCATCATGCAAAATTACTGCATTCAATTCCATTTATATGCCAGCTATTGCTTTTGTCTTTTTCCTCTGCAACATTCTTTATGAATTCTGTTATGCAATAACTCTGGAAAGAGACTCTGTTATTCATAATGTTATTTCAATGGAAGAGATTTTAGTGGCAGTCAGACTGAAGATAAAAATGCCTTTGAGCAGATATCACAACAAGACAGGGAGGGAAGGCCTTAAATAGGAGGCCAGTATTTTTCAAGTCACCTCAGATTTAGTCTCAGAAATAGGTTTTCAGTTGCTTCCCTTTGCTCCCTCTGAACCCTCTAAAGCACTTTTGCAATGAAGCTTTCTCTAGCTTGTGGAACCAGAACCCTACCCCCATCCACATTTTCACTGTTTCTTATCTACTCTCCCCATTTTTGCCTCCCAAACTTTTTTAACACGTCATCTAGATGTTCTACTTTTTTTTTTTCTCCAGTTTTCCTGTTTAGAGATGGATTCTGGTAGCGCTGAATTGGTGTTTCAGTATATGGATGTTCTTTTGTAGAGTGTTGGATAGGATATAATTTAATGGAAGTTGGCAGGAAGGGAATGTTTGCACAGAGCCAGTCACAGCAGCATAGGAAAAAAAAAGAACAGAAGAGTGTATTCTAAAAATGCTGCTTGTGTCCAGTCAGGATTATTATGCGGTAGGGAGAGGGAAAGGAAGATTTTGCATCCATCACCGTGACAGTAACACCATGGGGCCCCTGTGCTTTGCAGGGTGTTTCACTTTGCAGGTATTCACCCTAAAACCATAGGTAAGTTGGTCTCTCCTTGTGGCTGAAGACATGGGAGAGCAGAAGAGGAGTGAGTGCAACATCCACATAAGCAGAAGTGTGTGTATTTGTGCTTGGGTGCCTTCTCATGTTGTGTTTCAGCGTAGCACGCTGATGTGGTTTAGGACTGGACTGAGGTGTGGTGGAGAGAGGAGAAGAGCGCTTCTGATTTCAGCAGTGCCCGTCATCAGCAAGAGGAAAGAAGCCCAAAAAGAGCGTCCAGCACTTGCTGCCCCTCATGTGTGAGCTGGGGTGAATGGGGAAGGAATCTCTTGCTCTCTTGATGCCTCATCCATGAAGGCACCAGCTGGTGGTGCTCACCCAGCCAAGCCTGGGTGGGAGTAAAGGCAGTTCAGGCAGGACCTGAGGGCTGAGAGCAGAGAGAGACATGCTCTTATCAGGTGTTGCATTCATTTCCTTTGTAATTGACTTTTTTTTTTTTTCTTTGTTTGTTTTGGAACCAACGAAACTATTTTTATTGCTTGAAAAGAGCCGTCCATTTTGCTTTGTTCCAGGCACACCCATCTTGGCCCTTTTCCCGGAGACTGGCAAAAGGCAGGAGGAGCTGGCACTGCCCTCTGCATCTCAGTGTCTTCTGTGTTTGTGGCTGGATTGCATGGCTGGTCCTCGTGTGTCTTCAGTGACAACAAGTGGCCCCGGAGATCAGCTCACAATGCCAGGGTTGTGTTGGTGGAGTGTTGGATGTATTGTTTTAGAGTTCAGTGTATTGTTTTAGTGCTCAGTGTGCTGTTTCAAGAAGTAGTATGCAGTTCGCTTTGTGCAGAATCTCGTGCCTCTGGAGTGGGTATCAACTGCTCCCAGCTTAAGCTAAGGACCAAAGGGGTTTCATTGTGAAGGCACTTAAATATCTACAGGTGCTTCAGAAATTTAGTAAGGGATTCAGTGGCTCTGTGTGGTTTTTTTTTTTTTTTTTTTTTTTTTTTTATTGTTTTGGTTTTGTTTGGTTTGTTTGTTTTGGAGGGGTTTCCTTTAAAAAAATACTTGTTTTTGGTGGCATTTCTGCTGAGCAGTCTTAATAGTGATTCCTGAAGAAGAAAATTATCTGAGATTCCAGTTTGGCCTTCATGAGTTAACATGAGGTTTGCATGTCTTCAAAGAAATTCTCTGAATGTGCGATTTTTTAAAATTTCTTCTTTTTAATAGATGCATTCATTTGTGAGTCCTAGAACTTTCCAAAGGATTGGTTTCTCCTTCTCCAATCCAACACGGTTGCCCTAAGTCAGTTTAAAGGAGCTGCTTGACTTCCCTCGTGTTTGGATGGGAGAACTTGAGATTTTGCCAGAAAGGAAGGCAAGGACTAAGCCAAGCAGAGCGCTTAGGAGAAGGGATAAGCAGGGAAAATCAGCAAAGTCCAGGATGAGGAATGAGGATGTAACCAAATTTGGGGCTGGAATTACGGAATTATACTTCCTGGTGAATGAATGTAAATAAAGAAAGAGGTTGAGAAATAGAAGTGGGAAGAAAATTATTTTTTCTGATTTTAAAAGAAAGGGATCTGGAGACTGGAGAGGATGAGAATGGAAAAGAAGGAAAGGGAAGGAAAGGGAGACCTGGTGTTGGGTGAGGAGCTGCAGAGTGCCAAAAAACAGAGCTGGAACAGTGAATTTTCAGAGCAAAAGGACTAAGCAGAAAAGTACACTCTGCCTTGTTCAGAAAATAAAACAGACTTGGCCTGAGGCATCAGCACAGGGAAGGACCGGGTGCACATATGTTCTTATAATACGGTCGGTATGTGTATTTTTGCCTCCATAATGGTATTTAGAGAGCTATTCCAGGCGGATCCATAAGCAAACACTGCAGCATACCAGGACCCTGGTCTTCCAGCAGAAACACGAGGCCAATGGAGGGCTGTTTGTGTCAACCAAAACACGCAGTCCCTTGCATGAACCCCGGTCAGTGTGCACACATCAGCCCTGCTCTTTTTGCTGCCACCCTGGCTTTTTTTCTGGTGATTTTTGTTTTCTAGCGATCTTTTTCCAGGAGATGCCTTTTCCCCAGCATCATCCTGCTTCCACGCGTGGCTCGGGGTGCCCTGCAGTCGCAGGGTCCCTGCAAAGGGAGCAGCTGTGCTGTGGGTAAACAGGACTTCTCTCAGCGCAGCCAAGGACGCTGGAAAATCAGGAGCTTTTTCCCTTTTTTTTTTTTTTTTTTTTTCCTAAACCTTTTCATTGCAACATGAAGTCACTTCCTGTAGCAGCAATAAGGCGGCTTTTGAGTCTTGCTCTCCAACCTTGCCCTTTGGGAACCAAGCAGAACGTGGAGCTTGCTTTTGGATGCTCGCCTGCCTGCTATGTCCCGTCCTGTGCCAAGGGAAATGTGGATGTGGAGCCGTTTTTAGCCCGGTAGCCTCTGCCACTGAAGGCAAGCACGTCTGCACGTAGGAGCTGCTGCATCCCGGTGCCGGGAAGGAGACGGAGCCGCTGCTTTTAAGGAGGAGCAGGGAGCGAGCGGCGTGCCGTGCAGCCAGGAAAGGGCTTGCACAAGCACCCGCTTGCTGTTTGCAAGAGGGGAGCGGTGCGGGAAGCGCTCCGGCCGGGACGCATTAACCATTCCCACGCCGTGGGAATGAATGAGCGCCGGGAGCAGCCGCGGACCTTTAGGAGGAGGAGGAGGAGGAGGCAGCGCTGCTTGGAGCGCGAGCCGTTGGCGAGAGCACAGCCTATGAAATGGTGCAGGGCCCCGCGCGGCCGGGTGCGCGCGGACGTGGGCTTTTTCTTCCTTATGGGGTGAAGAAGGAGCAAGTTGGGAGGCAGGGCTTGGGAGAGCAGGATGGCGACACGGCAGGCTGGGGCGGGTACCCGAGAGCGGCTCCGACGTGGCTGGAAAATGCCCAGTGTGCTGGCAGAGGCACGGAGCTAATTCAGGTAACCGGAAAACTGGCTTTTATTGCCCCTGCTGCTGCTCGGATGTGCCCGTCTCCGCCGGCAACTCGCAGCAAGTCGTGTGCTGGGCTGGCCGTGTGCTCTCCCTTTCTCCCTTTCTTTCTTTATTTTATTTTTCCCATTTCCAAATGGCACAAGGGGGGCCGGCTATACAGCTTATGGATGTCCTGCCTGCAGAAGCCTGGCGGATTTGGTGGAGTATTATTTAAGCTTGTGCTGGGGATGTGTGAGTGTGGTGTCCGGGGGGGCGTTCGAGATTCCCAGACACCTGAGACAGCGACGTCTCTTTTGGGGGTGGAATTCGAGACGTGGGTGGAAACAGGTCCAGCTGCATATTTTTAGTGTGTGGATTTCGTGCAGGCTGGGGGTATAAGAGGCAGAGGCGCTGGTTGAGTGAATGTGATCCCGAAGACTGAGCTGGTTTTGCTGCTCTCAGGGAAGCAGCTTGCAAAGCAATAAAATAACCGTAGACCAGTGTAAAGTTTATTGGCATTGGGAGCCCTAGGAGGGGGTTGGAGCTTGATAGCCCACCTTAGTGCACCCTATGGAGAAGTTGTTCTCCAGATGATTCACAGCAATGCAGTGTAATCCTTGCCTCTTTATTCATAAAGCTACGGCATGAGCACATACATTTACACAAGATACATTCATAAATATGCATATGTGCACATGTAAATGTATGTGTTTGTGTGTATATATTATAAGTGTGTGTATATATATATGTACGTGTGTGTGTGTGTGTGTGTGTGTGTGTGTGTGCACATTTCAGGATTTGAAATTTTGAAATCCTACAGATTGACTTCGGGCAAGTTAACTGGGGTTTTGAGCTGGAGGTAAATCAGAAGAATGGTCTTTTTTTCTGAAAAAGAAACTTCTGCTTAGCGGTGTGCTGTGAGCACTGCTGCTTTTTACACTCATGTTTCAGTGTATGTCCTGCTGAGATGCCATTTCTTTTCCACACACTGATTTTGCTACTTCTCTTTGCAGAAAAAGAGGAAGCTGTTATAAATGGAGAAGATGAAAAAGAACAGAAAGATCCCTATTTTGTGGAAACGCCTTACGGCTACCAGCTGGACTTGGATTTTCTGAAGTACGTGGACGACATACAGAAGGGGAATACCATTAAGAAATTAAACATACAGAAGAAGAAGAAAACGGTACCGGCCCCCGCAGGCACCAAGAACCCCTTTGGGCAGTGCGGTGGCTGGACCTCCACCGAGTCCCTCTCCTCATCCAACAGTGATGAGAACAAGCAGTCGTGCGTGGCCTCAAGGAGTCAAGTAGCCCCGTCCGTCGCGGTGCGGCCATCCATCTCCTTTGAAGCATCTTCCTCCTACCTGACTATCCCCGAGAGCAAGCAGCTTCCTCCTCCCTCTCCTCAGCTTCCCCGGCACAACCTCCATGTGACAAAAACACTCATGGAAACGCGGAGGCGACTAGAGCAGGAGAAGATGATGCAGGTGACACCAGGAGAGGTCCGCCGGCCGCGGCTCTCCAGCTTTGGGGGCATGGGCTCCACGAGCTCGCTGCCCTCGTTTGTGGGATCCAGTGGCTACAGCCACATGTCCCAGCAGCTTCAAAATGGGTATCAAGGTAACGGAGACTACGGCGCCTGCTTTGGCTCCTCGTTGGGTGGCTCCATCCGCCACAGCCCAATGAGCTCGGGAATATCCACACCCGTGACCAACGTGAGCCCGGTGCATCTACAGCACATCCGCGAGCAAATGGCGATTGCCCTGAAGCGCCTCAAGGAGCTTGAGGAGCAAGTCAAGACCATTCCTGTTCTCCAGGTCAAAATTTCAGTGTTACAGGAGGAGAAGAGGCACATGATGGCAGAACTCAAAAGCCAGAGGAAACCAAATCAAAACGATGTGTATGGTTTCAGAAAGCGGTCCTACAGTGCGGGCAATGCGGAGCAGTGGGAGCACCTGTCTCAGGTCAGGCGAGGTGGAGAGCTGTATATCGATTGCGAGGAGGATATGGAGAGCATGGAGCAGAGCTCTCAGAGGATAGAGGAGTTCAGGCAGCTGACTGCTGAAATGCAGGCCCTGGAGAAGAAAATCCAGGATAGCAACTATGAAAGCCCAGCAGATCTTAGGGTGGACAGGGAGAGCCTCGTGAAGGAGAGCAGATCTGTTGCTGTAGGGGCTGATGAAAACATGAACGATGTGGTCATATACAACAGATCTTTGAGGCAACACAGAGAAGTAGCAGTGGGAACAGAGAAAGAGACGAGGGAGTCTGGGGTTGGGGTGACAGAAGCCATGCTTGGCTTGTCTACAGAGGTTGAGAAGGAGATAGAGCTTCAGCAGCAGACCATAGAAGCTCTTAAGGAGAAGATCTATAGACTGGAGGTTCAGTTAAAGGAAACTACACATGACAGGGAAATGACCAAATTGAAGCAGGAGCTGCAGGCAGCAGGAAATAGGAAAAAGGTGGACAAAGCCTTGATGGTTCAGCCGCTTGTTGTCAGCAGAATGGTGGAGGCCGTGGTGCAGACAAGAGACCAGATGGTGGGCGATCACATGGACGTGACCGATTCGTCGGTGGGGAACCACGTCCAGGTGAGCAGCATCGGCACCTCCTGCAGGCCCCTTGTGCAGAGCACCGCAGTGGGCCCTGAGGTGCTCATGAGCCGATGGCTCGTGAAGGAGCGGCCCGAGGTGCGCGACCAGTGCACGGGCAGGTCGGTGGACATGTCCGACAAGAAGGTGGGCACCGAGACGCCCGTGCGCGAGGCCGGCGTCAACACGGAGGAGCCCGTGGAGGACGGGAGGTGGCGCGAGGCAGCGCGGGGCGCCAGGGCGGTGAGGTCGGTGGGCTGCGGGGAGTGCTCGGTGCACGTGGAGCGCGTGTCCCGCGAGACGGCCACCGAGGCGGTGCGCCGGGCGGAGGCCACCGTCATGGCCGTGCCTTGCATGGCCTCGCGGCAAACCAGCGCGGCCGTGGAGACGATGAGCCAGGGCACCAGCACGGAGGTGGCCGCGCGGGCCGACTGCGGCACCAACACCGTGCTGAGCAGCTACGACAAGCAGACCAACACGGCCAGCGTGGAGACGCGGAGCGTGGCCGTGGGGGACGGACGGGTCAAGGACGTGAACGCCTCCGCCAAGACCCGTTCGGTTGGGGTGGGAACGGTGCTTTCCAGCGTCACCGGCCTCGAAAAGCCCTCTGTGACAAAGACCAAAGACTGCGGCGTGGGGCAGATCAGCGTCAACGAGAACTACCTGGTTGGCCTTAAGATGAGGAGCATTGCGTGCGGGCCCCCTCCGCTGTCCACCGTGCCGGCCGGCACTCGGAGCATCGGCGTTGGGGGCGAGGCGGTGGGCGAATCCGTAGGCACCCTCTTGGAAAGACCCCTGCCTCCACCAGAGCTGAGGATTGGCCTGGATCACTACATCGAGCGCGTGCAGAAGCTGCTGCAGGAACAGCAGATGCTGCTCGCAGAGAACTACAGCGAGTTGGCAGAAGCCTTTGGGGAGCCGCACTCCCAGATCGGGTCCCTCAACTCGCAGCTTCTCAGCACCCTCACGTCCATCAACTCTGTCATGAAGTACGCCAGCACGGAGGAGCTGCGGGGCCTGGATCTGCAGAAGCAGGGCATGGACAGGAGTAGCGCGTCAGGTAAGCCGGGTGCCCAAGTGCTTGGGTTGTCCTTCTTGGAAGGTTTTGCTTGTTGGTCTAGGAGCAAGTGGGGAACTTTGTCTGATGAATGCAACACCTGTTGCTGCTGGATACATCTGTGCTCTGCCCAGTCCATCAAGGATAAGGGTGCCCAAGCCCCAGAACAGGCTGCCCAGGGAAGCTGTGGAGTCTCCTTCTCTGGAGAACTTCCAAATCCACCTGGATGCCGCCCTGTGCCCCATGCTTTGGGTGTCCCTGCTGGAGCAGGGTCTTGAACTAGATGATCTCTAGGGGTCCCTTCCAACGTCAACCATTCTGTGATTGAGTGGTAACTGGAAATGAAAGCAGGAGGGAGCTTCACCTCTCGTAGTCCTGCAGAGCCCTGATGAGGGCGACAATCAAGAGTCAAGTATTCAATATGTGAGAGGTATCTCAAAGCATCCCAAGAGTCTGACCACCAGGCAAGGTACACTTCTTAAGACTTGAAGAGTATCTAATGACTGTAAGTTTGGGATTTTGGTCCACCTCTAAAGTTGGAACACCATTTTTTTTTTAATTGCAGTTAGTCAAACTTGACAGAGTTATTGGCAGTCTTCCACTGCTGTCACAACCTGCCTTGTTTTCCCCAGACGTTGCTTTATTCCTTCCTTTTCCCTTCGTTCTCTGCTCCTCGCAGCTGAGAGCTGTGGGGTTCTCTCCCCGCTCCAGACACACTGGTTGCTTAATGATGGGCAGCTCCAGAGCACTTCACAGAAACCACAGCTTGCATCTCCTCCCTTCCCAACAGTGTTTGAACTAATCCCTAACAGCCCCATATTTGAAAGGCGTAAGCTGTAATCATTGCTGGAGGTTTAGAAGGCAGGAATTGAGATTGAAATGCTTCCTCCATTTTACTTATTAATTTAAAAATTTAAATGATTAATTTGAGGGATTTCTTTTTATTCCCTGGGGTAAAGCTAGTCCTATGTGATATTTACTCAAGATCTAATTTCTATTTCAGCAGCTGTGATATAGATGCATTTCCGTGAGTTTTCCGCATTTCCTTTACTCTTGTCATAGTGTGGTAGGATAAAGAAGTCACTGCTAGTAATTACGTAATGGTTTTCAATAAGCCAATAAATTATATTGTAGCTGGATTTCCTATAACATATTACAATATTGTAGCTGGATTTACCTATAACATGCTACAAAGAAAGGTTACACTTTTGGTGTATGTATCAGATATACACTAAAAAATGGAAGCATTTATGGGCTGAAACAAAGCAAAATTTTTAGCTTCCCATAGTAAAAGAGTGGGCAACATTTATGTTCAAGTATGTGATATCCTATCTCTCTGTATGCCTTGTGATTATTATATATATAATGCTATCTTTCTATTATCTTTCTATCTTTTATATTATATGTAATATTATCTTTCTATCTGCATTTTATTCTTTGGGCTTCTTAAAAATAGTGATGCAATAATAACATGCAATATCCAGCAAACACTGAAAAGTGAGCTAAAAGCAATGAGCCAAAGTTTTCAGTAGCTATAATTCCTTTCTGTGCTTTTATTGTACAGTGTCAGGTGTGTAGGATAGAGGCTTGAAAGTATTTAGATGCATGTGGAGCAATGGATCGTCTTTTACTAAAGATGTTCTTGCGTGGATTCAGATTTCACATTCTTGCCAAAATTATTTTGGAATAATTTGGTTTAGCATCTAACATCATTATCTTTAGCAGTGGATAACAAGTTCAAATCTCTTTATTTTTAGTTGCTGCTGAGGGTTACATGCTGTGACTATGTATAAAAGTTGAGCTCTGGTCCTAATACTTTAGACCCTTGTAGGTAGAGGTCATCAGTGAAATATCTTTCTGTTAATACTGAAAATATTTCCTTTAGTACACTTATCTGCTTGTCCTGCCGTCCATTTCTGTGGTTTTGCAAATCATGTCTTCCTTTGTTAAATCCTTTGCAATCCTTATTGCCAATGAAAGTACCAATATAAACAAGGAATTTTGCAAACACCAGAACTAATAAAGCATTTTTTTTGCCATGAATCAGTATCTCATGATCACTTGTGAGCTCTTATTAAGTCTTTGCTAACATTTGAGTCTCTTGGGTGTACATTTCTTCAGGTCTCATGTGAGCGCTGAAGCAGCCTCCTTTCTCCAGGCATAGTTTCTTGGCCTGATTTGTTTCTAAAGCTTGTATGAAAATAAAAGTTCTGCAGAGATAACTGTCAGTTATCGAAGGAAGCATGATTTCACAAGCCTTGCTTAGGAAAACAGGCTGAAAATAGAGGCAGAAGCAGTTGGTTTCAGGTTAGCAACAGCAGTATCATCTTTAATATTTTATTCAAAGACCATTCTTAGCAAGCGCCTCTTAGAGGCAGGCCAGTTCAGGGCAGGACTATCTGAACTAGCTTTGGGGCCAGTAATGGGGGTAGTAGAAAAACAACACAGCAAAACAGGTCTGTTTGCTGTGTTTCAGAAGTTAACTGTCAGTGCTGCTGCTTCTGATACTTGGGTTGAATCCATCTAGGTGCCTTACACAGACATCCTCTTGGGTCCTTCTGATTTTATAATTTTTTTTATATAATTTTTTGGTATTGTGAAGAAAGGGATGTGTTGCAGAGAGGTGTATCATCTAGCAATAAGTGGGAGTTTATGGTAGCTGATGGATGGAAAGCCCAAGCACAGGATTAAGTTTAAGCAGGAAGCTTGGACCTTCCCACATCAGGACCTGAGTTTGAAACCTGACTGATGCTGGCACTTGCATTCATAGAGGAAGATCAGATAGACCTGTGAGATTATCTTAGTACAGGATCAAGTGGAATTGGCAATTGTGTGTTGCAAAATAAACACTTTTACTTCCCTAACAAAGCATCTCATGTTTACATACATATTGTCTTTCAAAAGCCCTAATGGCTTCAGGGAAATCAAACCTGCTTTGCAAAGAAAGCAATTTCCACCCTGCAAGTTGATTTTTAGCCAGTATTGGATCTTTATCCGCCTTCAGCTGGACGCTACTGCTGTGGGAGACAAAGCTGGATGCCTCCTGGTCTTTATTCTTGTCAGTCTAGACAAGGGTATTCTTTTTATCTATCTCACTGTCACGGAATTTTGGAGGTGTTTTAGAAAGTTACATTTGACTACTTGTGTTTTGCAAAACATCAGCTAGAGGCCTAGTGGTAATCTTTTGTGACATATTCACAAAAATGCCCCACAGACCCATGCAATTTACAGGCAAGGAGTTTGCTAGATGAGTAGCTGCAAACAATTGTTCCGTTCTTGTCCTGAGAAGTTTCATGTGCATATTTGACCTAAGAAGACATGATTATTGTGCCTTTGTGATCTTCAGAGTTTCTGTTTTGCATCCAGTTGTGGGAACAGCGCTGTCCAGAGAGCCCTGTGAAGCCATTGGACTAATCCTCAGGATGTGACTTCTTGAAATGGACACTTGAGGGACTGAAAGGAAATGAGAAGCAAGTGGTGACAGGAAGCCTCACAGGCCTGACGAGAATATGATATGCCATCTGGTAAAAAGATCTGAGGTTCTGAACTGGAACGTTGGCCCGGAGCTGATGAGGCAGACCAAGGGATGGTGGAGCCGGAGGAGGTATTGCAGTGTGAAATGCTGTTGGTTGTCCAGAGCTGGTATGCAGCAGCTGGTGTTTTGGGCATTGCAGCACTAGCATGGTTATATTGCTCCCTGCCTTCGTAGCATCGGTAGCAAGAAATTGGAGAGAGCTGTTTTCTCTCTATCAGGCTTCATTTTGTCAAAGTTTGTAGCCTCTTTCTCGAAGATGGTTAGCACGGTGGGTTTGATAGCTCTTGTCAGGGCAGCATGGGTCACACTAGGAAAGGTAAAGCATGCCCGTGCTTAAGGAGCCAGATGATGTTGGAGGCACTAGCATGGTGGTGGAGCAAGCAAAGATGCAGGAACTCTACATCTGATCTGAGCCCTCAGCTTGAGTGGATAGCATTTCATAACCACCAAGTTGATTTTCCCTAGAAATGGGCTTGCCTGTGAAATGAGCAGCATCCCTCCTTCTCTCTGCTGGGAGAGGGGGAATAGCACATGTGAGGTGTTTTGCATCAGTGAAGGGTGGTCATGCACATGGTCCCATCTGCGTGCCAGCTGAATATTCATTTCTTCACATGTGGCTGACAGGAATTTCAAATAACACAGCACTTTTTGTGCAGAATATTTTCTTCTGGTGTCGAAGGTGGCATCTATTGACCTACTGACTTGCAGTCACTACAGTAAGTCCTGATGTCCCCATATTATTTGAAGACTGCAGGGATCTTGTAGTGAGAGATGAGGGTTAAACTGGATTTTGTTCCATTTTACATACCATCAGAGAGGAAGCAGAGATCTGGTCAGTGATTGTTCTGTAAAGATCAGTACTTAGCTGTTCTTTTTCTAGTCCGTCTCCATAGGCCTTTCTCAAGATGTTTGACAAACTTGCCCTGGTTATGTATTAACACAAACTTATTATGAGATTTTGCAGGGCTCAAATCCTGCGTTCAACAGGCAGATATATAATTGCTTAATATGAGGTGGTTCCCATTTTTTTTTCCAAGGAAGTGCAGGCTTATTTCAGCTATGACAAAATATCAGCTGAGAAGATCAACTTCTCATAAATGAGGAAACAGAAAGAAAAGCTGTGAGATGACCTTTCCTGCTGTGCCTGGCATCATGAGATGCTTCGATCTGCTACCCATCAGCCAAATTAAGGATGGCCCTCACATAGCTGCAGACACAATCTTGCTGAAATAAGAGTATTTCATAAAGAATTTGAATAGCTGCTTTGCAGAAATGTTATTTTTGCTTTCAATCTTGCTCTAGCCATCCTATTAAAAAGAGGAGTTTTCTTAGAGCTGAAAGTTATTACTACACAGGCCCCAAGTAAATTTGGCTCCTGTCATTTAATAAATTTAATGATTAAATTGGTTGTATATGGGTTGTTGTTGTTTTGTTCTGGACTTTTTAATTCACTGCCTTTTAGACCTGAGTAGCTCAAAAGTACTCGCTAAAGGGATAACTGGATAACTAAAGAGATAACAGGATAACTGTTAGTCTTCCGAAGATAACACTTCATATGTGGAAAGGGTTAATACCAATCTTGGAATATTTAAGCATAACATGTTTACTTATCGCTGCCTTTTTATTTACCTTAGTAGAGTGGGTTTGACTCATGAAGAGTCCTGATGTGTAGACCAGATGGAAAGTGTATCAAAAATGCATTTATATAAAAATAGCTTCTTAAGAAGAAAGCAGCTTAGTAAGATTTAATATCACTACAGACGACTAAGTGTTCTTCAATTGTCATGATTCCATAGCGAACTGAGTGCAGTTGTCACAAATTCCTGTAAATAGTATGTAAGAGAAGAAATTCCTTAGTCCATATACTTCAGGCAACATATATATTCTCTCTCTTGAACAGAAAATGCATAAATACCTCCATGGCCTTGGTCAGTGCAAGTATTTATTTGCACAACGTGATGACCAAGATGTTAAAAATAAAAGCTGTGTGTGGTTACTGCAGAGGCTGGTGCCCTTTTTTTAGATAAAAGCCTGTGATGTTCCAGACAGACAGCCAGGGTTCTCATCCCTGTGGTATTTAATTCCGCTGGCGTCGTTTGCACGTCTCTTGATTTGCCGTGGCACAAAAGTGCTATCAAGCCAGGAGGTTTTTATAGTCTGACTAGGATTTCCTTCCTTCAGACTAAACGAGCTTTTTCAAAAGTGGGAAAAAAGACTTTTTATCATCTTAAACTCAGCACAGTCCCAAGCAAAAGAAAATACTAAGTTCTCTGAACTTGCTATCTATGTGATTCAATAGCACTTACACCTCTGTAAGGGAGGGGAGGATCTGCAGTTAGCAAGTGTGTTAGCAGCAGGGATGGATGCATTTGTTGTCACATAACTTGATGCTGGTGTTTAATATTCCTGCAGTCACTTTGCCTTAAACTGAAGAGTTTTTTTTTTTTTTCCAAAGGGAGCATGAATGATTTAGCAATAGGAGCACCATCTGAAAAATTAGAAACCAACACATCTGTTTGCTCAGATCACCGGGATTAGTTGGTAAAGACACTTGAGACACCTCGTTCCCGCTAAAATTGATTACAGTTCATTTTGTGTGTGAGTGTCGGGTCATTTTAAGCCTAAGGACCTTTTTTATTGTTGTTTTTTTTTTTGTCAAAATACTTCATGAGTAGTAAACACTTATATCTCTGTTAAGATAATGAGTGTACCAGCCAATTTACGGACCGTAGCTATTTTTGGTTGCTTGTCCTCCAGCCTTTATATCACACTGTCTTGTCAGGTCCTGGGGACTAGGCAGGACTCTTCCTTGCTCTTTTTAAGCCGTGTTTGCTCCATGCAATATGCTTTGATGTTTGCATGGTGTAATATATTTTGACACTTGCCTGTGTCCAGCTCCAGCCGCTGGAAATGGTGCTGGGTGGGAGGGCAGAGCAGCCTAATGCGGGTGGCAAAATGGTAAGGAAGCTGCATGGTGATGATTTTAGGAAAAATCAACTTCTATTATGTCCTGTCAAAGGAAGAAAGTCATAGGGGAAAAGAATTTGGGTGTGAAGAAAGAGAGGAAGACAACTCAGCAAGAGCACTGACCATATCAGCCCTGTTTTTTTTTAAGTGAAGTATTTGGAATTTACGTGACTTCAATATTTTAGTGTCCTGTACTGTACCTGTCTTCTGTTTGAACAAGGAGGCTGTGGCATAATTCTTGATAAATACAAGGAGAAGAAAAAACGTTGAGAGGCAGCAGTGACTGAAGCAAGTTTCAAAACAAAAAAAAAAAAAAAAAAAGTGATTTTGTTTGTTTCTTTTTGGTAGTGAAACTCAACCATAATAGCACAGCTGGAGGAACTCCTGGGAAACATATAAAAATCTGTGCGTGATTAGTATTGCTATTTAAACCAAACACAGGGGAAAAAATAAAGGAATGTCAGTAGAAATGAGCTGCATAACTAAGTGAATTGTCTAAGTTTGAGAATTAGTGGAATACTGGCAAAAATAAAGATTCCTGAAAAGCTCCTGCTTTCGTGGAAAAAGCTACTTCTTTTATTTAAAAAAAAAAAAAAAAAAAAAAAAAAGGCAGTGTTCCTGAAGAAGTGAGTGCTCTCCAATGCCTGAATGGAATCACAGAATAGTTGAGGTTGGAAGGGACCCCTAGGGATCATCCAGTCCAACCCCTGCTCCAGCAGGGACACCCAGAGCACGGGGCACAGGGCGGCATCCAGGCGGGCTGGGAAGATCTCCAGAGCAGGAGACTCCACAGCCTCCCTGGGCAGCCTGTGCCAGGGCTCGGGCACCCTCACTGTCAAGAAATTTTTTCTGAAGTTCCTGTGGAACTTCTGATACTTCAGTCTGTAGCTGTTTCCTCTAGTCCTATCACTGTCCACCACTGAAAAGAGGCTGCCCCTTTCTCCTCACTCCCGTGGGAGATGGGAACATAGGGCAGATGTTCCAGGCCTCTGGTCATCCTGGTAGCCCTGCRCTGGACTCTCTCCAGCAGCTCCACATCCCTCTTGTACTGGGAAGCCCAGAACTGGACACAGTCTCCAGATGTGGCCTCACCAGGGCTGAGTAGAGGGGGATGATCACYTCCCTCGACCTGCTGGAGACGCTCTTCTTAATGCACCCCAGGAYCCSKTKGSCYTCTTGGCCACCAGGGCACACTGCTGCCTCATGGTCAACTTGTCGTCCACCATGACACCCAGGTCCCTCTCTGCGGGACTGCTCTCCAGCAGGTCCACCCCTAATCTGTACTGGTGTCCAGGGTTATTCCTCCCCAAGTGCAGGACCCTGCACTTGCCCCTGTTGAACCTCATGAGGTTTCTCGCCGCCCAGTCCTCCAGTCTGTCCAGGTCCCTCTGGATGGCAGCACAGCCCTTTGGGGTATCAGCAGCTCCTCCCAGTCTGCTATCATCAGCAAACTTGCTGAGGGAGCACTGCGTCCCTTCATCCAGCTCATTGATGAATAAACTGAACAGGACAGGACTGGACTTGGAATGTTTTTGAAGCATCTCCCTGAAGAGCAGTTCAATGAGTCTGCCATTAATCAGAGTGGCACTGATTGCAGTCCAGTCCTGCCCAAAAAGAAGGAGAAGGAAAAGGAAAGTAAATCCCTTTCATCCCTTTTTGAAGCTGCTGTCTTTATAGCTTTTTCCTTGTATTGTGCATTCTCATAGAAAGAAAAACTCATGACTATTTTCTAGTTTCTGGTAGTGATCACACCTTCTTTTTTGTGCCTCCTGGATTTTCAGAACAAGGCAGTATGAAATGCAAGTGCTACCTTTTTAGTGTTACTCTTTCAGGTTTTTCTGTCAAACGTAAAGGTTTTGGTCAGGCCCCATAGTGCTCAGAAACTCCCTCCGTCTTCTCCAGCAGGTGCTACCTTGGAGTACATCCCCCATGGCCAACTTGCAAACGCCCACCTGGCTTCAAACCTGCGAGCCCTGAAGCTGGAGCAGGACATGGGACCGGTGCAGGAGGAGAGGAAGGCACCTATGGGCGATGCCGTCCGGGGAAGAAAATCCTTCTCCGCTCAGGACAAAAGTCTGGCTCCAATTAACCTTACGGATGATCAACTTGCTTCTGGCCTCTACGGTAACCTCTGCATTATGAAATTTGGTTTAGATTCTTTTTGCCTTCCTGTTTCATGCTCAGTGAATTTCAATGGATATTATAGTCTTTAAAAAAAAAATCCTTGATTGAATCTTCTTACTGTGCTGGATAGCCAGTCGTTAAATATCTTGGCCTCAGTTCTGGCAATAAACTGCTGATATTTAACCTCAAGGATTAGGATGGACTTGAGGCAATCTTGTCAGACTTGGAAATGTTCTTTTATACTTCTGGTGTGCATGTAGTACTATGACTGTATATATACAAAAGTTATTTTAAAAATAAAATGGTAGAATATTAAAATATTTTAAAAATTATTTTTAAACTCCAGCTGCAATTGGTAAAGTTATTTGTTTTGGAGAGTTGTGGGAAGCAGCCAGAGTTGGTGACAAATTTGTACTGATGCATGTGCTTTCTGCTCTTATTGACAGTATGTACGAATAATGAAAGTACATTGAAATCTATCATGAAGAAAAGGGATGGAAAAAAGGATTTGAACAATGCAAAGAAGAACTTACAGTTTGTTGGCATAAATGGCGGGTAAGTGGCCTTTCCTTAAAAAAGAAAAGTCACTGGAGTGCTTTCACTCTTGGAGTCTGGGACAGGAAGGAAAAACCTGGGAGTTTATGAGTTTACGTATAGTAGTTGCCTTTACTTCAGCCTGAAACTCACCTGTTGATCTGAAGGGTAGGAGAGCAGGATTAATCATTTAAGGCCACGTTAATCTTCTGTCAGCCTTTTATGTGTGTTTATGGTGTTAAGTGGAAGTTGTCAGTCAAACTTGGAATCAGCCTTAAGTACTTGTATAATAGGTCACTGCCAAACTTAACACAAGAAAATGGAACAAAAAGGAACCCATGGGAATATTTCCCAGATGATATACTGGTAAATAAAACTTTGAAAACTTTGAAGTCTACAAATTAGGTGTTTTTCTAATAGCAAGATGTGGTGTTACCTAAGAATTAATTTCTCTGGGTTTATACTTGAGAAATGCAAAAAAAAAAAAAAACCAACAAACTAGATGCTGAAAACAGTTACACGTGTTGATGGAAGCCCCCCAAACCTCTTTGTCTTCGGCTTGTCTGAGTGGCTAAGGAGGAATGAGTGTTTTCAGGAGGGAAAAAAGATGGGAATGGGCACGTCCAAAGGCTGCCTCTCGCTGCAGGTACGAGACGACGTCGAGTGACGAGTCCAGCTCGGAGGAGAGCTCCTCCTCGGACTCGGAGGAGTGCGAGGGCGGCGAGTTCCCGCGCGACGAGCAGGGGCTGCCCGGCCGCGGGGGCCCCCAGCTCCGCCACGGGGACGTCGGGGACGTCGCGCCGCCCGGCGGCGAGGCCGACGAGGTGGAGATCCGGGAGAGGTACGGCCGCCTTCCTGGTGGGAAAGGCCTTGGATCCGCGCTGGGCCTGGCCAGGGAAGCAAGATCCTGGTTTAGCTGTTCATTGGAGGCTTTGTAAAAACATTGCGCCTGGCACGCGGAGGCCCCAGCGTAGGGATCTGATACTTTCCATTATCTGTTATCTGTTATCTGCATGCGTGTATTAAAAATGCAGCCGTGTATGGCAGTCGGTGGTAGCTGGAGTTGGCTTTTTGGCCAAGACTTGCTCTGTGGGCTGTGAGAGCGAGTCCTTCTGACACTGACCCCAGCAGCACTGAGCCATCCACAGCAAAGAGCGCCAGAGGAAGGGCTCCTTTGGAGCACATCATGACTTACTAATGGCAGAGCCTGAAAACCCTGGGGTAGATAAACAGGTTTTGCCCATGAGGTCAGCAGCCTGCTCTCAATTCATCTCCTCTTTCCATCTCTGGTATCATCTTACACACAGCCCACCACATGTGGTGGGTTGTGGAGAGGTGGCCCCAAGAAGCTGCTGTCACACCCACCATCATTTCATGGCCAAGCTTCTTGTCAAATTGCTGGGTGATGAGCTATGTTGGACACCATTTGACTGGCCAGGCACGTGTTTTGGCTCATGGAAAGCTGTGGTGCAGTGTGTTTTGACTGGCTCTTGGTTAGTGGATGGGCAAAAAGACGTATAGACCACAGTGAAACATCTAGTAAAGGGATGTTTTATAGACAGAGAAATTGCTAAATGTTTAGAAGCATGCAGGCTTGGAGAGCTGCGTGAGTGAAATAATAACAGTAAAAGAGTAAAGAAAACATTAGTAAGTCATGTTTCACCAGAGCTACAGCTTAGCAGCAAAATGTTTATGTAATTATCAACTGCTAAGTGAAAGGGATGCAGACATAATTAAGAGCTAATTGTGCCCAAAGTAGCCATGTAACATATATTTAACATAGACGATGGTGAGGAAGGGCACGATGACTGTTTAGGTAGAAGAATAAACAGTAGTCCCAGTTCTTAGCCAAACAGTCAAAACACAGAATGTAATACGTGTTCTGCAGTAAATGCTGTAGATGCAAGCTTCCACTAAAAACGGTTGAGAAGTCCAGAATGCAGAAGCAACATGTTGCCTGTTCTATATTAGTGTTGATCCTCCCACAAACATCTGAGAAGTGAATTTCTTCCCCGTGTCCAGGTCTGCTCCCCATACGGAGAGTCCCTAGTGATACGAGGTAATGAATCCCCAGAGGTGTCAGGATGGATTCTGAGTCTTGGCAATTTATGGCCTGCTTAGAAACATTAATTCCTGCGTTAATTTTGGAAAAGTAAATGCTTTTATGTGATAGGAGAAAAATAAGTGTGCTGTGACTTCCACTGTCTTTTTCAGATATGAGCTCAGCGAAAAGATGCTCTCTGCGTGTCATCTGCTCAGCAACAACATTGATGACCCCAAGGCCTTGACCAACAAAGATGTGGTAGGTGACACAAAGGAAAGTTCCCTGTGAACTGCTGCAGAGAAATTTCAGGGAGGGATAACTCCTTGTTTTACGTGACCAGTGCTGGGGAAGGCAGAAGGGAATGTCATCTTCCCTGCAAGAGTTAGAAAGTGACTCTTTCTTTCTTGCTTGCTTTCTTGCTTTCTTTCTTGCTTTCTTTCTTGCTTTCTTTCTTGCTTTCTCTTTCTCTCTTTCTCTCTTTCTTTCTCTTTCTCTCTTTCTCTTTCTTTTTCTCTTTCTTTCTCTCTTTCTCTCTCTTTCTCTCTTTCTCTGTTTCTCTGTTTCTCTTTCTTTCTCTTTCTCTTTCTCTCTCTCTCTTTCTCTCTCTTTTTCTCTCTTTTTCTCTCTCTTTCTCT